GCCATGGCGGCCCCGGAGCCGGCGCCGAGGCGGGGCCGGGAGCGGGAGCGGGAGGACGAGAGCGAGGACGAGAGCGACATCCTGGAGGAGAGCCCGTGCGGGCGCTGGCAGAAGCGGCGGGAGCAGGTGGGCGCAGGCCAGCGTGGGGCAGCGCACTCCGCGCGGGTGCGGGCCCGATCTCTCCGCGGCCCGTCGGCGGCCGTGGGCCCCTTCACCGGCCCCTGGCGCGGGTGTTCTCCTCCCAGGACCCTCCTGCGCCCCCGGGAGTGCCCGCTAGCCTCCTGGGCACGGCCCTCGGCCCCGAACCCTGCTCCAGCTCCCTGGCCGGCTCCGGCGCCGGCGCGGACTGAGCACACCCCAGCAGGGCCCGTCCGAGCGGGCTGGGACCTGTGCTGCGCACCCCGCCGGCGGGAAGGGCGCGGGCAGCCGCCCCCACCCTGTCCCCACACATACCAGCGCGCTCTGCCCCGCCCCGCCCAGGTGAACCAGGGGAACATGCCGGGGGTGCAGAGCACCTTCCTGGCCATGGACACGGAGGAGGGGGTGGAGGTGGTGTGGAACGAGCTGCACTTTGGAGACAGGAAGGCCTTCGCTGCCCATGAGGTGAGCCCCTGACCCCCCTGCCCCGCGCCCGCGGAAGCCACCCTTGACCGCCCCCCTTCCCAGGAGAAGATCCAGACCATGTTCGAGCAGCTGGCCCTGGTGGACCACCCCAACATCGTCAAGCTGCACAAGTACTGGCTGGACGCGTCCGAGGCCCGGGCACGGGTATGCCACCGGCGGGGGCGGGCAGGGGGTGGGGCGCAGTGGGGCAGGCGCGGGCCCCTGCCCTGGCGGAGGCCTCCAGCCCGCCCGCCTCGCAGGTCATCTTCATCACAGAGTACGTGTCCTCGGGCAGCCTCAAGCAGTTCCTCAAAAAGACCAAGAAGAACCACAAGGCCATGAACGCCCGGGTATGGGGAGCGGGACGCGGCCGGCGGGGATAGGACCCTCAGCCGACGGAGACCTGGCCGGGGGCTGGGGAGAGGACCGCGGGGCGGGGCGGGGCGGGGCAGCCTGCGCCGCGCGCCCCCCGACAGAGTCTGTCCATCCGCCCTGTCCGCCAGGCCTGGAAGCGCTGGTGCACGCAGATCCTGTCTGCGCTCAGGTGAGGGCCTGGCTCCCGGCTCTGGCCGCCTCGCACCCCGCCTCAGCGCCCTGACCCGGGCTCTTGCTGTCCCCCCCACCCCGCAGCTTTCTGCACGCGTGCAGCCCCCCCATCATCCACGGCAACCTGACCAGCGACACCGTCTTCATCCAGCACAACGGCCTCATCAAGATCGGCTCGGGTGCTGGCGGG